AAACACGAACATTGGTCTTGCAGGTATTGCTAAGCACGGGCAAGCTATATCTCAGGAAAGCGAGAAACAGGGCCCTGTAGAGCTCCATCATTGCGTCTACTGACATCCCCCACGTCTTTCCTGCCACGAACTTGAACAGTTGAGAAATAGCGGTCAGGCGCTTCTTCATATAGGTCACATGCGGACTCCAACAGAGGTCCCTATCAATAATGATGCCCAGAAACCGGTGGGTTTTGGCGTAAGAAATCGGTCGCCCGCAGATTGAGATGACATAAGGGGTCATTGCTTTGCGAGTGAAAGCCACCAGCGCGCATTTTTCTGGTGATATGCTGAGACCTTGTTTGAATAAGTAGTTGGCAATCATAGTTGCTGCTTTTTGAAGCCGGGAACGTATCTGAGGACGTGTGACTGCCGATGTCCAGACACAGATGTCTGCGTATATTGAGATTTTAATGGTGCTTGGCAAGTATTCAGCAAGGCCAATTAGTGCAAGATTGAATAGCGTCGGGCTAAGAACTCCGCCTTGAGGAACACCCCTGGAAGTATAGCGTCGCGTAGTTGGGCCATCTTCTGTTAACACAAAAAATGACCTTGCAGGCAGGTAACTCGAAATCCACCAAAAAACTCGACCACCAAGGCCAACCACCGCAAAAGCACCCAAGATGGCTTCATGTAGTACATTATCATAAGCGCCTTTCACATCTAAAAACAAAGCTGCAGATAGTCGCTTACGGGATCTTTCGTGCTGAACGTATGAAACTAGATCAATGACATTGTCAATAGAAGAGCGGTCGTGTCGGAAACCAGCCATTGAATTCGGATAAATCTTGTAGTATTCAAGATACCACTCCAGGTGGCCTAGTATCATCCGTTCTATTATCTTCCCTACGCAGCTAACCAGTGCTATTGGGCGGTATGAGGTGAGTTCGAGTGGGGATTTGCCCTGCTTCAAGATGGGTAACAAGCGGCTTACTTTCCAGTCATCAGGAACATTGTCATCCTGCCACAAGATGTTGTAGAGGCTCAACAGTTCTCTCCTTGCACCTTCCCCAAGGTTGCACAAGGCTCGGTACGGAATACCATCTGGGCCCGGAGACGTTGAACGCCTGCAGAGAGCTAGTGCCGCCTCGAGCTCCTGCATTGTAAAAAGGAGGTCCATGTGGTAGTCACGGGAACGGGGGACGTCACCTCTCACTGGAGAATCTGGACGAGTGGCTTGGTTGGCGATCTGCGCACAGAAATCTTCTGCGACATCGATGTCTTGCCTCCTTTGAAATAGCGCGAGCGCTTTGATTGGAAAGCGCTGTTCCGTAGGGTGACGCAGACCTTGCACCGTTTTCCAAATGTGTGAGAGTGGCTTGCGAGGGTCTAGTGACTGGCAAAACGTTGTCCATCGTTCCGACGATAATCTATCCATGCGACGCCGAATCTTCTTTTGCATCCTCCTGGCTGCCCTAAGATCGGGAATTGATTTTGTACGCCGATACCGACGCTCCGCCCGGCGTCGCAGTGCTCGGAGTTGCTCCAACTCTATATCAAAGTCGTTTCGTGTGGAAGATATCGTCACCGTGCGAGTGGCATTTTGCATTGTGCTCTTAATTGTTTCCTCTAACTCAGATCGTAGGCCATCGCTGCAAGCATCTTCCATGTCAGATTTGAAGTTGGTCCATTGGACTGCTCAAATGGTCGTCCGTGGACCATAACTAGACAAGCCTTTGATGTTAGGGAAACCACTTGACGTATCTCGCGAGGGAGTTGGAGACAAAAGCAAGGTTGAGACAGCTGCCGTATGTCACCCCTCGAAGAAAAGTGGGGCTGCCGTCGTTCAGGAGAGTAAGGCCATAGTTGTAGGCGATGTTTGCTAACCTGCGTCCTCTTGCAATTGTCCGCGTACTTCCCCATGCGTGACTGTGCGCATTGAAATCACCTATGAGGACCCATGGTGCAGGACACACTCTCAAAATATCCGCTAATCTCCTGGAATCGAGATTACTTGACGGCGATATATAAACGCCTATGAGAGTAAACATGAGTTGGTTCTTTTTCACAGTGATGCAGACATACTGATTGTCATCGTTAGGTGCAATTGGTTGCACAACATACGTCAGTTCACGACGAACAAAGACGATGATTTTGCTGCACGTACCGTTCGTTGAAGACATGACAGCTTCGTACCCCGATAGTCTTATTGGTTTCGACAAATTGGGTTCACAAATGACGATGATTGGAAACACGTTGGTAAACACAACTGACGAAAATCTGTAAGGCGTGATTTTAGTCCTCTGGCGTTCCATTGGATGACGGATGCAGCCTTGACTTCTTTACGAAAAGTTGAGGTGTGAGTGTGAGTTGATCTTCATAGTTGAGAGATTAAAGCACTGGGCTTAGGGCGTCCAATAGTCCAAGTGCGCTTCGAGCAGATGGTGTGGTGTCTTCATGTCGACTAATATCGCTAGGATGGCTTCTGTAAGGGAACGCAGCACCGAGATCACTTGACGATCAGTTTTAGGCAAATCTTCCATGGTTGGAGACGGCTCTTGTGTGGCCACAACCTGCAGAGGTTCCTTGGCAGAAGAGCGCGTCGGGAGCGTGGGCCATTCCTCCAGAGAAGGAGGCTTCTCTGTTTCTTTCGTAGAAGGGGTGGGCCCTTTCGCAGCGCTACTGGATAGAACCGCTAAATAGTGGGAAGGAGCGTCTCGGGAATGCGCCTTCTTTGAAGACTTTCGATGATGCCGACGTCGACGCCGACGCCGGACTACTTCGGCTGCCTCCCTGTGTGTTGAGTTGTCTCGGGCCATTTGTCTGAGAACCGCGCGCTCCTTTTGGATTCCAGGACAGTCTTTCGACGAGGCAGCATGAGGACCACTGCAGTTAGCGCACTTCAGAGTAGTCGCCCGACAGGCGTCTTCAGCATGAGGTTCAGCGCAGCGGGGACACAGTCGTAAGTTGGGGCAGACGCCCTTGACGTGTCCTAGCCTGAAGCACTGATGACATTGAAGTGGCTTTTGGATGAATGGTCGAACCGGATGTCGAAAATGTCCAACTTTAACGTGGGACGGTATGCAATCTCCCTTGAAAAACACTTTTACGCAGCGCGTATTTCCATTGATTGATATGTGGGGTTTAACGTCCCAAAACCACTATATGATTATGAGAGACGCCGTAGTGGAGGGCTCCGGAAATTTCGACCACCTGGGGTTCTTTAACGTGCACCCAAATCTGAGCACACGGGCCTACAACATTTCCGCCTCCATCGGAAATGCAGCCGCCGCAGCTGGGATTCGAACCCGCGCCCTGCGGGTCAGCAGCCGAGTACCTTAGCCACTAGACCACCGCGGCGGGGCCAGCGCGTATTTCCAAGGCGCCGCACTTGTGTAATGACAGTTCCCTCATTTGCAGGCTTGATGAGGGTAGACAAGTCAGCATTAGGAATGGCAGTGTCGATGTCATAAATTACACCGGCCATTGATTTGTCATCCATCGGGATAAAGGGGCGCATTTTAATGCCACCTAGCTCAGTCGTTTGCTGCAGCTGTCCTAGCGCACTCACATCGTGCACGTCTATGGCGAGAATATTTTTCCTTGGGTTTATTCGTACGTCCTTAATTTGATGTGGCACCGCACATTCGAGAGCAACCGAAAGGGCTTGCCTGTTCAGAAGCCGTAGGTTGCTTGATGGATCTTCGGGCATGAGATGATGACGTGCGGCCAGCGCGCAGGCCTTGAATGCACAGTCGCTGTGCTTGCAGGAGCTGATGCTGCTGTATTCGTCGTCCTTCTCTTCGCCCTCTTACCCCGGACAGGTATAAAGCTGCCATCGGATGTGTCGTCTTCCGACATAGAATAGAGGTCGGTGTCCTCAGTGTCATTGGGAGAGCCAGCTCGCTTCCTTGTGGTTGACGGGTGTGAGGACCTGTGACCAGGCGGGCCTCTGGCATGCTCCATGTCCATCACCGCAAGACGGAGAGGCGAGGCACCTCAAAAGACCGATGATTTCACTAAAATAAAACAGAGCGCAGAAACAAGCGTTCTTCTAAAGCTACAGTCAGTGGGGATCACTGATTTAGCTGTGACTCTGTCGATTTCCGAGATGTTCTGTAAGCTTTGCAGCGCACGACGGTGTAGAACATTAACTGCCAGAACATTCTTCTGTGAGTTGATCCTGATGTCTTTAATCTCATTTGGAGCGAGTCCTTCGAGGTATGCAGAGAGGACTTGCGTGTTAAGCCGCCGTAGGTTGGCTGAAGGGTCCACAGCCATGAAGAGTTTAGTGTGTGGCCAACGCTGCGCGGTAGCTATTGGCACAACCTACCTGCAACACTCACAAGCATAACTAACACGAAAAACTTCAAAATTGCTCTTCACAGAGTTTCATTTCAAATTAACATCAGTGTTCGTTTTACACCTTTGATTGTTATATATGTTTTTGCTATGCTTCTAGAAATTTTGTTATAAGAATGTTACTTTTGTCCATTTTGCTTTTTACCATTATCACGTCTTTATGATTTTTCGCGCTATGTTTTTACCTCTCGGTACTTTATAGAGTGTATGTATATTTAACAGCTCTTATTCTAACACGTCCGGGACAATTGAGTGTTTTCATTGCTGCAATATAATTACACCTCCTTTTGCATTTTTTGCGACTCACATTTGTTAAGTGCCACCATGACATTTTCTATTTATAATTTGTACCTGTAATCAAGTAGTTCTTATGTAGTAATTTTTGCCCCTCCCTTCTTCTGTGTACGGTTGTATCCTGAGGGTATTTGAAATAAATAAATAAACAGTTGTTTCTCTTTAATATGATTTTGTCTAACAAGGGAACGGAATCTTAAATTTCTACTTTTTTCTTAGAGTTTATATCGTATGGCGCTATAATTCCTTATTACCTAGCCCAAAAATATGTAGCTCTGGCTGTGGACAGCTTTGCCTTAGCAATGTGATCCTCTTAAGTGGTAAGATTTTTGTATAGCCAATTGAGCACGCTGAAGTGACTGAATATGCGGGCTGAAACTTTTGAAATGACAATAGCATCTGCGCGGGGCATTCTACATTTGTATAATAATGTTATCCTGTGCTTTCACCTTTACCCTCGACCACAATGCCACACGAGAGCAGTGGGTGGTGGTTCGGCCGGTGCAGTAGTGGCCAGTCGTCTTTCTGAGGACCCCGAAGTCAGCGTCCTCTTGCTCGAAGCTGGCCGGCTGCCCAACATCTTCCTCGATGTGCCACTGTTGGCAGCCGAGATACAACAGACCAAGTTCGACTGGGCCTACGTCACCGTGCCACAGGAGGCCGCCTGTTTTGGACTGAAGAATAGGGTAGGATTGCATGTTTTCCCTCCAGAAAAAAATTGTCCGTGATGTTATTCTTTGTCGGACTGGTCAACAAGTTACAGCACAAGGACACAGGGAGAAAGAAACACGGTAGACGCTATGAACGACCGTAGCGTCTACTCTGTGTTTCTTTTTTCTTTTTGGTCCCTGTGTCATTGTCCTCATTCTTCATAACAAGTGTCTCAAGAACCGTGCAACTAGCCTTAACCAAACTATCTCCCTAATCATGCATTTACGTAGACTGTACGCTTTTAGTGCACGGTGTCCGGCAATGGCACTCATGTGTTGGCGTACGGGTGCACGGTGGCAATCCTCGGGTTGGACACTGCCCTTTTTGGCACTGCCGAAGTGGATCTCGGAGGTCACTTTGGAGGGAGCGCATGGCTGCGATCTGTTCTGCCAGTTGTCACGACGGTCCCTGCTGATCACAAGAAAAGTGTCTGTTCTTTCAGTGAACTCATGCAATGAATTTTCAACAATTACTCTGGCATTTATTTGGTCCTTACGGGAGGGTACTAGGCTAAGCGAGCGGGTTCGCTAGAGCTGGAGGGGAGCGGCGAGGGTGAAGAGAAAAATTCTGAAAATGTTGCGGCGGCGCTACACTACCTTCATTTGAAAATGTGTGCACCAGCGTAAGCGGTGGCTTTGGAAGCACGGCGCTCTGACGGAGGGCTGGCCTCTCGATGCAGTCGTCTGTTCGATGCAGTGTCACTGCGCTGTCTTCTCTATTCGTGTTCCCATTGCTTTTTTAGACCTTCTTGGCGGCAAAAAGAAGTGAAAGAATAAAATTAGCCCCGTATCTGCATGTAATCGGCAAGTGTCGTCGAAAGACGATAGTCTTGCGTGTGGAGAGAGTAAACAAAACACTCATTGATGTTCTGCGCAAGAAAAACGGTGAATGGTATTCCGGAGGCGCTGCGTTAGAGTGCCTCGAGCGTGCAGCGGAGGCGAAAGAGCGCATCAAGTCACGTCACACCTGAGACATGAGCGCCATCTGGCGGTTTCTTTTGGACAACAAAGCACGTGGCCATGCGCGCCCGTCTCAGAGGTGATAAGGTGTAGAACTTGAGGCGACGGGTAGGTGCCACCACCATCTCGTCTTAGCAAAGCGTTGGAAACACTCCTCGTTCCGTGCAAGCGTTACATGGTAAGAGCAGCGTGATAAGCGCTATGGTCCTTAAAACTACTTATGTATGCGTTTTCTAGCAAGAGATGCATATGCGCAATATATGCACGTTGTTATGGTGCTCCAGACATGCGCAATAATTGCTTTTTAATCGACAATTGCACAAGCATGAACGCTTAACCTTGAGCAACATTGGGGGTCACTGCGGATGTGGTCAGCAGTTTCAACTACCCGATGCCGGAAAGGTGGACAAACAGATAAATGTACGGATAGAGAGACAGACCAAAATTTTTGTGTTGAAGGTCCCCAAGAAAGACTATCATCTTTAATAAGATATCTTGCAGGTGAAGCACGAAATATGGCGAATACCAACAAGCCTGCTCCCACACGTTGCTTCAGTACAAAATGTGTTTTTCCGTGAACAGAGGTTCATCGCTTCCTTGCAGGAAAGTAGTCTGGATAAAGAATACGCGCACAAATGGCAGAGTTGAATGCGCACATGTGTACATGCTGCTTTCTAGGCGGAGTGTTGAAGGAAAAAAAGGAAGGAAAATAGAGGGGAAAGAAAGGCAAGGAGGTTAACCAGCCTATAGGCAGCCGGTTTGCTACCCTGCGCATGGGAGAGGGATGGGGGAGATGAAAGAGAGCGGAGAGGGAAGATAGAAACAGCACATTCGGCAGCACCGCGCGCACACTCAGTCATAGTCCAGTCTCGTCTTTCGCGGTGTGTGACATTGCTGTTACAGTCGCTTGTTCAAGTCGGTGTCGCGTAGGAATTCCAACAGAGCCTTCGTCGCCTTCTGTTGCAAGGTCTTTTCTCGGGCACTTGACAGAATAGTGTCCACAGACATTTGGCTGTTGTTGATGCGCGCAAAAGCAGACGCCAGTGACTGTCTCTGGATTTCATACAATGGACAGTCACACAGGATGTGGTGTAGCGTCTCTTCGCAATTACAGGCATCGCAGAGAGCGTTGTCGGCCATTCCTATGACAAAGGAGTAAGATTTTGTAAATGCCACTCCTAGCCATAAGCGATGAAGAAGGGTGGCTTCTCTTCGGTCGAGTCCAGTGGGCATGCGGAGAGCCATCAAAGAGGACAGGTGGTGTTGACGATTCGTATCGATGCTTGGTAGGCACCATAGTGAAAACGTGATTTCACGCGCAAGTCGTCGAAGATTACTGGCAGCATCAATCCTCGAAAGTGGTATGGCTTCTTCTCGTGTTCCTTCAAGGGCTGCCCGCGCGGCAGTATCGGCATGTTTGTTCCCTATGATGCCGGAGTGACTTGGCAGCCATTGAAGCGTCACATGATGCCCTTTCTCGAGTAAAGTGTGGAGAAGGCATCGAATTTCAAAAACAAGCTGTTCGTACGGGCCGCGACGCAGTGCTGAGAGGACAGATTGTAGGGCAGCCCTTGAGTCGCTGAAAATCGACCATTGTTGCGGTGGTTCTCGATTGACCACACAAAGTGCAGCGCGCAAAGCAGCTAGTTCCGCTGCTGTAGATTGCGTGGAGTGGTCAGTCCTAAAGCTGATGGTAACACCTCTTGCTGGGATAACTACTGCCCCTGACGAACACTGGTGGTTCGTGGAACCATCGGTGTATACATGTATGCTGTCTGAATATTTCTCGTGCAAAAGAAGGAGAGACAGTTGTTTCAGCACGGGCGACGAAAACTCTGATTTCCTCCGGATCCCTGGTACACTAAGATGCACTGTGGGTCGAATAAGACACCAAGGTGGTATGGATGGTTTAGATGCATGACTGAAGCCCGAGGAAAGTTTATCGTTGTATTTCACGATAATTTTGGCGAACGATGCTTGGCGCCTCTCTGAAGGCAACAGTGCAAGGTGATGGCCGGGGGCACGTGCGAAGTGTCGGATGTGCGTTCTCAGGACTTCTACAACAATGTGAGTTTGTATCGAATAGTCACCAGCAATTGCAATTGTTGCTTCTGTTGACATACATCTGGGCAGACCGAGGCACACTCTCAGCGCTTGGGCTTGTACTGCCTGTAAAACACGAACATTGGTCTGGCAGGTATTGCTAAGCACGGGCAAGCTATATCTGAGGAAACCGAGAAACAGGGCCCTGTAGAGCTCCATCATTGCGTCTACTGACATCCCCCACGTCTTTCCTGCCAGGAACTTGAACAGTTGAGAAATAGCGGTCAGGCGCTTCTTCATATAGGTCACATGCGGACTCCAACAGAGGTCCCTATCAATAATGATGCCCAGAAACCGGTGGGTTTTGGCGTAAGAAATCGGTCGCCCGCAGATTGAGATGACATAAGGGATCATTGCTTTGTGAGTGAAAGCCACCAGCGCGCATTTTTCTGGTGATATGCTGAGACCTTGTTTGAACACGTACTTAGTTGGCTATCATAGTTGCTGCTTTTTGAAGCCGGGAACGTATCTGAGGACGTGTGACTGCCGATGTCCAGACACAGATGTCGTCTGCGTATATTGAGATTTTAATGGTGCTTGGCAAGTATTCAGCAAGGCCAATTAGTGCAAGCTTGAATAGCGTCGGGCTAAGAACTCCGCCTTGAGGAACACCCCTGGAAGTATAGCGTCGCGTAGTTGGGCCATCTTCTGTTAACACAAAGAATGACCTTACAGCCAGGTAACTCGAAATCCACCGAAAGACTCGACCACCAAGGCCAACCCCCGCAAGGGCACCCAAGATGGCTTCATGTAGTACATTATCATAAGCGCCTTTCATTTCTAAAAACGAAGCTGCAGATAGTCGCTTACGGGATCTTTCGTGCTGAACGTACGAAACTAGATCAACGACATTGTCAATAGAAGAGCGGTCGCGTCGGAAACCAGCCATTTAATTCGGATAAATCTTGTAGTATTCAAGATACCACTCCAGACGGCCTAGTATCATCCGTTCCATTATCTTCCCTACGCAGCTGGCCAGTGCTATTGGGCAGTGTGAGGTGAGTTCAAGTGGGGATTTGCCCTGCTTCAAGATGGGTAACAAGCGGCTTACTTTCCAGCCATCAGGAACATTGCCATCCTGCCACGAGATGTTGTAGAGGCTCAACAGTTCTCTCCTTGCACCTTCCCCAAGTTTGCACAAGGCTCGGTACGGAATACCATCTGGGCCCGGAGAAGTTGAACGCCTGCAGAGAGCTAGTGCCGCCTCGAGCTCCTCCATTGTAAAAAGGAGGTCCATGTGGTAGTCACGGGAACGGGGGAAGTCACCTTTCACTGGAGAATCTGGACGAGTGGCTTGGTTGGCGATCTGCGCACAGAAATCTTCTGCGACATCGATGTCTTGCCTCCTTTGAAATAGCGCGAGCGCTTTGAATGGAAAGCGCTGTTCCGTAGGGTGACGCAGACATTGCACCGTTTTCCAAATGTGTGAGAGTGGTTTGCGAGAGTCTAGTGACTGGCAAAACGTTGTCCATCGTTCCGACGCTAATCTATCCATGCAACGCCGAATCTTCTTTTGCATCCTCCTGGCTGTCCTAAGATCGTGAATTGATTTTGTACGCCGATACCGACGCTCCGCCCGGCGTCGCAGTGCTCGGAGTCGCTCCAACTTTATATCAAAGTCGTTTCGTGTGGAAAATATCGTCGCCGTGCGAGTGGCATTTTGCATTGTGCTCTTAAGTGTTTCTTCTAACCCAGATCGTAGGCCATCGCTGCAAGCATCTTCCATGTCAGATTTGAAGTTGGTCCATTGTACTGCTCGAATGGTCGTCCGTGGACCATAACTAGACAAGCCTTTGATGTTAAGGTAGATTGGAATGTGATCACTTCCTCGTGTCTCAACATCTGGAAACCACTTGACGTATCTCGCGAGGGAGTTGGAGACAAAAGCAAGGTCGAGACAGCTGCCGTATGTC